GAGTTCATCTAGCCCTTACTGTCACCTCAGGGAGACCCCTTCCTTCCACGTCCGTCTTGGTCTCTGGGATGTAAGCTCTTGTTCTGAGAGTCTCATCTCAGACTAGCAAAGGGGTGGGGACCAGGCCTGAACGATGAGGATGCTGGGTGGGAGTTGATGGGCCCATCCACCCAAGACCAGGCAGGGCATCACAAAATCTGGCCTTCCCCCTCTCATCAGCTCTGGGGCCTGAGAGGTTCTCCCAGCCCAAGTAGAGAGGACCTCGGCCCTGCTCTCGCCTCTGGGGGTCTCCTGAGTCCTGCCTCGGGGGTCTGAGGGGCAGGTTTCCTTTAAGAGGCTCGACCCGGGTTAGGAAAGTATCCAGAGGGAGGAGACTGAGCCCCTCAGTCCTCTGATAGGACCCCTGCCATCCTCCCCGGGCAGGGTTCCCGTATGTTGAGTCGTGACTTCCGTCCCGGGCTCTGAGGGCCAGAGGCGTCGTTGGTTGCGGCCTGTGGAGGACGACTCCGACGGGCGTTGAGGTGAGGACTCAGAGGAAGGCCTGAGGGGCGGTCTCCTCAGCCCCCACCCTCCCCTCGCTGTCAGCCCCCGGGCGCCCCCCATCCCCCCCATCCCCCCCGGCCTGGATGGGTTCTCCACCGACTCCGTTTCCGGGGTCTGAGGGGCCGAGGCCTAGTCAGCCAGGGCGGGACTCGGGTCAGAAAGAAGGAGTGTCCCCGCTCCGCCGGGTGTTAAGGTGGGACCCTCATGGCAGGCTGAGGGGGCCTCACGGTCCAGCCAGCGGGGCCCACAGACGCCCAGCCCGGCTGCCAGCCGTAGGAGGCCCATGGTTCAGTCAGGCAGAGATGCCTCAGTCCTCGCGGTCCGGGGAGATGGGGGCTGGGCCTGAGGGACGCACCCTCGGGTCTGCGGAAGGGAGGGCGAGGCCCTGTGGGCCTGTATTCCGGGAGAGAGGGATCCCCACAGAGTTCATCCAGCCCCACGACTCCGTCTCCGGGGTCTGAGGGGCCGGATTGTGGTTTCAGTCTGCAGACTGAGGTGCCCCTCACCTCGTATAGGGACTTAGGTAACCCCAGGGGTGAGGGCCTTGGTCTGAGGCATGTGTCCTCAGGTCAGTAGAGCCGAGGAAGCCCAGGCAGTGCTAGGGGTCAAGGTGAGGCGCACACCCTGAATGTCTACCGAGGACCCCACCCAGCCCAGAACATTGAATTCGCAGCGCCCGAGCTTGCACATGCTATCGTCTTACCTGGAATCTGCAGGCTGTGCCTGAGGTTCCACCCTGAGGAGCTTTCTCAGGTCCTCCTACTGGTTCTCAGGGGACAGATAAACTAGGAAGCCAGGAGACCCCCAGAGCATGATCTAAGGGAAGACCTGCTAAGAGGGCCTTTGTCAGAGCTGACAAGGTTGAGGTTCTCACACTCTTTCTCTCTCCCTCAGATCAGTTGGCCCCCATCACCACCTCCTGCCCACACCCCTGCCTGCCATCCCCAACACGAGTCATCATGCCTCACGGTCAGAAGAGTCAGTGTGGCAAGCTTGAAGGAGGCCCTCTGGCTGAAGAAGAGGTTCAGGGCCTGGTGGGTGCACAGGTTCCTGTAGCTGAGGAGGAGGTGGCCACCTCCTCTTCGCTGTCTCCTTTGATCCAGGGCACCCCAGAGGCTGTGCCTGATGCGGGAACCCAGAGTGTTTCCCAGAGTTCTCAGAGCGCCTGCTCCTTCAATTCCGTTGAAGCCATTCCATCAAGCGCATCAGATGAGGGCTCCAGCAACCAAGAAGAGAGTCCAAGCACCTCCCAGGCTCCCGAGTTCTTGCTTGGTGATGTGCTAAACAGGAAGGTAGTTGAATTGGTGCGGTTCTTGAGTGTCAAGTATGTAACAAAGGAGCCCATCACAGAGGCAGAAATGCTGACGAGTGTCATCAAAGAGCATAAGGATGACTTCCCTCTGATCTTCAGCAAAGTCTGTGAGTGCCTGGAGATCGTCTTTGGCATTGAAGTGAAAGAAGTGGATCCCACCAGCCACACCTATGTGCTCGTCAAAATACTAGACCTCACCTATGATGGGATGCTGAGTGATGCCCGCGGCATGCCCAAGACCGGCCTCCTGGTACTTATCCTGGGGATGATCTTCTTGGAGGGCAACCGTGCCTCCGAAGAGAAAGTCTGGGACATGCTGAGTGTCATCGGGGTGCATGCTGGGCAGGAGGATTTCATCTACGGGGAGCCCAGGAAGCTGATCACCGAAGATTTGGTGAGGGAAAAGTACCTGGAATACCGGCAGGTGCCCGACAGTGATCCTCCCTGCTACGAGTTCCTGTGGGGGCCAAGGGCCTATGCTGAAACCAGCAAGATGAAAGTCCTGCAGTTTTTTGCCAAGGTCAGTGGGGCCGACTGCGCTTCCTTCCCATCCTGGTATGAGGAAGCCAGGAGAGATGACGAAGAGAGAGCCCAGTTGGCTGTAGATGATGCTGCCATGGCCAGTGCAAGTCCCAGCGTCACGTCCAGCAGCCTCTCCGGCCCTGAGTGAAGTCGGCGGAAGCTTCTCCACTCTGAAGAGAGCAATCAAGGTTCTACGTGGTGGAGGGCTGAATTGCAGATTTTATCCTTTTTTTCCCTTTTTTGATATTTTTCAAATATTCTTCCTCCTAATAGGTTTATTAGCTTTAGTGTCTAGGTTCATGAATGACACTGCTCACACTTATTACTGTTTGTCAGGTTTTAGAGTAAGAATTTTGCTGTTCTGTAAAACATACTGGGAAACCTTCCATTTCTTACTTTGTGATCTAGAACAGGATAACATGGCATTGGAATAGGAATTTCCTTAAAAACTTGCAAGAGCCCAGCAATAAAATAGATGGGGTCAAGAAATAGAAGAAAAAAATGTATAAGATGGTTATCCTAAGAATCCTGTATCCCACTTAGTCTGTTATTTTATAAAATTAAAGATATACACCTGGGTTAAAGAATCTTAATAAAATAAAAATAAAGACTGTTTATAAAATAAATTTTAAACATTAATAAATGAGAGTTCTGGCTTACTGGCTCATTTATGCTTATAGGTGGGAGAAAAGCCTGGAATGGAAAACTGCTCTTGGCAGTTCCTCTGGGATCGTGGAGAAACAAAGTAGTTTCCACCTGGGGCAGGTGCGGAAGGCATCCTACCCTCCTGTCCCCACGCTGCTGAGCAGAGTGCACAGGCTTCAGTGTTCTGTACACACTGTCTGCAAGGATTTCCTGAGAAAATGCTGCTATTTCTTTGAAGTGGTGCCCAGAGGCTGGCACTTTTTCCCTGGCCTGGGAGAGTCAGAGCCCATGCCCTTGAGAGGATATTTTAATTAAGTTATCTTGAGTGTAATTTGGCCAACTCTAAGCAAGGGCTAGATTTCTGGTGGGGGTGAATGAATGAAAGTCGTCGTTTGGATGGAAGAGCAGCTGGGAGGGAGGGAAGGAGTTAGTCCTTGACTGAAATTCTGGGAGCGCTGAGTTGCATTCAGCTGGGTAAGGTCTCCCCATACCCAAATTAAATAATATATCCACAAACTTGGAAGATTTAATGAGTTTTATTTACAAAGCAGTACTTTCGGCTCACTTGTGTCCTAGAGTGTTGCGTCTTCTCCGAGATGCCATGGAACACAAACACAATCCCAGGAGGATCAAAATCATATTAAAAATTTATTTTATTTTTTATGCTATTTATTAAAGATCCACTAAATGCCAGGCACTGTGCCATGTGCTTGATTTACATTATATACATTCCAGCAGTCCCACAAGTCAGGGCTTATTAAACCCGCTTCACCAGCGAAGAACCTAAGGCTCGTAGCACTCGGCAGTTGGCTCAGTATCACATGTCTAGTAAGTGACAGAGCTGGGCCTGGATCCCTGATCTGAATTCATCCAGGTCTAGGCTGTTCCCACTCTTCCCAGCCTGAGGCAGCCTTTTGTCTCTTAGTTCATTTCTCTCCTCAGTACTCTCATGGCAAGAAAAAGAAAGGCCCCGTGGCCAAGGTACTCAAAGCAAGCCTAAGACGGAAGGTGACGAGAATCGGGCAGGATTTGGGGGATGTCTGCAGGCTGTATTTATCTCTGGTCCTTCTACCTGAGCCCCGGCTTCCTTGAGAGTTGACACTGCCCGGGTCCTGGCACTTTGTCCCGTCCCAGGACTTCCCTGCATTACACTCCCTTCCACTGGTCGCCCTCCATGTGCCCTCCTGTCCAACTCTGGAACCTGGCCTGCTGACAAGCTTGCCACTTCCTCTTCTCTGAAGACTGTGCCCTCCTCCCAGTGGAACAGCCCCAAATCACCCGCCTTCCCCCTGACACAGAGCATTCCTAACCCCTGCAGAGGCACCCTGGCTGTCCCGTCGCTCTTTCTGGAGCCCCAGAAACAGGAACAGCCTCTGTGAAGTAAATGTTTAGACAACTGGGAAGCCCTCCTGGCATCTTCAACGTACTTAAGTTGTTTTTCAAACTGGTGAGTAGAATCTGATTTGTACATAATCTACTGGTTCTTGGGATATAACCCTGAAGTTAGAGAGGATATTTGAAACCACACTGATACTTGCAGCAGGATTCTAATAAGATGTATTATTTGAAACAGGCTGCTGATCACATCAACAGATGAATAAGCTTACCCTGATGGTAAAACACCAAAGCTTCCCTCATAAGAGGGCGATGAGGAAGCACCATAGAAACCTCACTGTGTAAGCAGACATCTACTGGGGATGAATTTCTAAAACCCTGGAGTCCTCCTAGGAGGTGAACAATAGTTCCTCAGTGGACGTGTTATGTTGGATCAAAAAAGAAAATAATAGTTAACCATCCTTCCACTGCCTCTTGTATATATGTCTGCCCCCTGGGAAAATCCTAGTTTGCGATGTGCCTAATGACACCTGTACAAGTGTTCGGCATGTTTGGTCATGGGAGGGGTAGCTGAGACTCACAAGTTAGATTTTGACTGTGCATCACAAGGAAAGAGGAAATTCTCAGGCTACTGAGATTATAGAGGTTACTGCAAAGGGCAGTACGGAACTCCCTGCTAACATTTACAGGAGCCTTTGAAAACCAGATGCGATCCTATGTTTGAAAGCACCTGTCATATAGTGGGCACTTGAAAAAGTTGGTTTTCTCAGAAACTCCAAGAAATAGAGTTGTTGTCATAACAGATTATAATAGTTGCTTTTTATTGAGCACTTCCTCAAGTGACATGATGGCTTATGGGAGAGACTAAAGTGCTCATCCACATCTTGTCTTCCTCACCTTCCTGGGTGGCCCACCTGTAGTTTGGCAGGAGCCATTATGCCATGTCCATGCTGCTTCTGCCATTCAGCAGCAAAAATGGAGACCCCGTGTTGGGACAGCGGGGCTACAAGATGGAAGCAGCCTAGATCCCTGTGTCACATGAAAGCAGAAAGTCCCTGCCAACCCACATCAGGATTTATGAGCACAAAAAATAAACTTTCATTGTGTTAAGACATCCAAATAATCATAAGCTAGCAGCTGCTTTCACTGATCATTGCCCAGCATTTATTTCTGTTGTTACGTTTATTCAAATATTTTTAATTACAAAGGTAATTTTGCATATACTTAGTCGCCAAACATTCTGAAAATACAGACCAATCACAATTCTCCCCTTTACAAAGTATCCCCAAAATTCAACCCCCTTGTAACTACGATTAACAGTCTGATGTGTATTACTTTAAAGCTGATTCTAGGCTCTTTCATAGACACACTGTAAAATATACTGTGTTTTTTTTTTTCATGTGCGTGGGTAATGATGTTCATATTCATCTGGCCCTTGCCTTTGCCGCATAATAAAATGGAAGCAGGATCTTTCCATGAAAAGCACATATTAGATCTACCTCACTTTAGTAATTACTCCCTAGAATTCTGAAGTGTGTGTGTGTGTCATAATCAATAAAACACTTCTCCTCTTGATAAATACTAAGTTATTTCCCATTTTTACATGATTAAAGGAACTTAAATTAACATCTTTGAACATGAATTCTTGGGCAAGTGTGTGTGTTTTCTCATAAGAAAGACATTTTAATATGGAAAATTGGATTAAAGTGGAAACGGTGTGAATATTTTAAATTTTTATAAAGATTTCTGCAACTTGGTTCCAAAATGCTGTAACAGTTTATTTTCTCATGAATTAATACCTTACATGCTCAGAATCATTTTATATTATCAATCTTTCAAATTTGGAGCAAATATTATGGGTGAAAAATATTGTCTCACTATTGCTTTAATTTGTATCTCCCATTTTCTCATTAGGTTAAGCAGAAAAATAACTTAATCTTTCACCCATATAAAGCTGGATTTATGCAGTGATGTCCTGAGTAAAGGGATTCCTCTGGGCTCGATTTAAAATTCTGAAATGTCAGCAGGCCATTTCCTCTTTGAGAAGCAAGGATTCAGCCAGAATGACCAGGAGCCAGGGAAGGAAACCAGACGAGACACTCTCAGTGAGGGTCATGGAGAGCATCTGGGAAGAGCAATTGCCAGAATCCACGTAAGAAACCATGTACAAAACCAGGTCCAGAGAGTCCCAGGTAGGCTGGCGGTCAGGAGGCGGGCTGGCGGGGAATCTGGGTGGGTGGATCTGGATGCCGCACATGGATGGGCTTGGGAAATCTCGGAATCCTCATGACCAGCTGGAAGTCTCAGTGTGGTCCGAGTGGGTAGGTCAGCTGGAGGAGTGGACCGCATGCCAGCCACCACCCTCC